GTTTGGCGTTCCTGAAATGCAAACAAAGCAAGAATGAATTAGGGTGTCGTACATTTCAAATCATCAGACCATCGCGGGATTACGTCTGAGTACTTCATCAAAAATTTTGCACATTCATTATATGTTTTATTTAGACATACAGAATCATTGCATAATTCCCATTTGCGGTAAGACAAGGACACCTTTAATGTTCTGCAAATTCGTTAAAGTGAAAAGCTCACGTTATGAAAATTAGTAAAATTAAATGCCAATAAAAATAAAATGATTTACAGTATATTAACGTATTTGAATGAACCATCAGTCGAGCCCGGGACCATGAATAGTATATTTATATCTACGGCAGTGTTTTGTCTTTGTAGAATATGGTTATCACTTTGGATACTTATCAGGTCATTTTGTTTCCATGGCGACTGCCAATACGTTATTTTGTACATACCTTTGCTGTCTAATTGATCCACAAAGTTTTTAGCAGACGGGTTCTTGTCATTGGCTGCAAGACCTTGGATTTCACGCTTGAACCACAGACAACTTGAAGAAACGTCTTGTGATTGGTGGAGACCGAATTCTATCTCTTTTTCTGTAACTGGAATAAACACGGAGACAAATATTATGAACATTCAGTAAATGAGAGTATCTGCGTCATGGTGGAGGAGTCAGTAAATGTATACACTGGAAATAAATGACAATTGCTTTAGCATACACAGAGAAATAGTACGTGTACTCGGTGCACACTCAACTTACTTGAGTTAATAAGCGAATGCGCCCTCACGGTGTCTTTGATACTCAGCAAAACTGCCTTTGTTGTAATTTCAAGTAATCTTTCATAGGTACGCCACCATTCGGATTTGGTCTTTTCGGCAAGCATTCTGTTGCCCTGGTGACCGAAATTAGAGATGATGGATGATATCGGCTGGAGAATGTACACTGGAGGGACGGCGTTGGTGTCCTGTTTATACCACCTATAACAAATACGATTAAGTAATAAATAAAATAAATCACAGGTAACAGTGACACGTGTCTTGGTTATAACGTCAATTAGAGCTAACATAAGAAAATGTAGCCGTTTGTGGTAACATACTGTTTCATCAACGTCCTGTCTTCTTCGCTGTCGACTGCTCCAATAATAGTCTCAAATTCGTTGCAAATGATATCCGACGGTAGAGGGCGTGTTCCATATTTATGAGAAAGGAGACTCTGTGCAGTAAACGAACAAAAATGTGGGTTGTATGAATTCCTGCATCTGTTAAATAAATACGGTGACCTCACTAAAATGGTAATCCAAATTGTCGATCTGAACATCAGATTACGACCAAAGCTCAGCCGAATACAGATGGCGCACTTCGCAAACCAAAGCACCTGATGTACTACAATAGTCACATAGAATAACATAAAAATCGTTCTCAATCAATTATAATGACATTTAGGAAATAATTACTTATAGTTCTTTTCTTTTGTTCAGTTGCATTTCAGACGTCGACGATTGTGAACAGCTGGGCTGTGTTTTGTTGAAGTGTTGGTTTAGTAGAACACATTTATTGTGTTGGAATATTGAAATGATAGTTGGAACTTACCACAAATTTGGGACCAGTAGATATTTGCTGACAGTTTCTGATTTCCTCCAGACATAGTTGCATAGTTGTGTGGTCATTAGCTGCTTCGTCTGTCACGCCCCACCTCATGTCTACTATCTGTGACACCGGGAATCAAATTAACATAAGATGCTATACTGTTGGAATCGATGGGATATACATTCATATAAATGTTCAGATCAAATATACTGGGGCGTATTTGAAGATATACTTCAATTCATGCTTAGAATTACAACTTATCATAAACT